CTAGTAGAACCAGGGCCTGGCAATGTCACTGGCTGTGCTGGTTGGAGGTTTCTGGGAGTTGTGGTGGAAAAAAATAACTGGATAAAGGTACCCAGTTTGGGAGTTCATAAGCATTAGAGTGACTTGAAAAGTACTCAAGAGCTTAGAGCAGGGGTGTCCATGTTCTACTGACATCAGCCACTGTGTCCAATGGGTATTGTAGTCCAAAGCTCCTCAAAGTGACCAAAATGCCTACAGTGAATGACTTAATATCAATAGTCATAGATACAAGGTTGAATGTGAAAATCCATTTTTGTCACCTGTGTTGCCAAACGCTTTTACCAACTGTAGTTGGTTGTTTCATTGGTTTAATGGAAACATTAAGCAGAAAGAGATGGTCTAATGACTGAACCATTCCTGATAGAGCTATTTTTGAATATTCCCAAAGCTTTCAAAAATCTAAGTAGGAAACCAACTCATTAGAAAGAAAAAATCACTTACTACTATGTTATTTTCCGCTTACAGTGAATTAAAAAAAAAAAACACTTAGAAGAGCATTCAAAATGGCAGCATTTTGCTTGAAGTCACAAGTCCACTCTACTGTCTCAGGACCATGCTACCTCATTCTTTTTTTTTCTTTAATTTTTTGCAGTAACTTCCTTTCTAAAAGCCCTTAAATGAGCAAACTTGTCCAGGCCTAGAGCTTTTAATTTTTTAAAACAAACATTTTCTTTGTTTTTGAATTCCCCCAGCTGGGTATTTTAGACTCCTCTTCCTCTGATTTTGCCCCGATTTGCTCTTTAAGTGAAGCCTTCCCTATCTCTACAGCCTACATGCTTCCTGGACTTTCTTGTGGGAATCATGGAAAAGGTCACGCAGCCCAGGGAATTCATATCAGCAGGGCAGCCTATTTTAGCCACTGCACCTGCTCACCATACCTTGGGCTGGAAAAAACCCAGAGAGCAGCACAGGAAGGTGACCAGGAAGGTCAGTTGGAGGGAGAGGTTCTAATTAGCTATTTGTAGGCTACCATTTCACCAAGGCTTGGCTGTCTCCCATTTATATAGAGAAAGCAGCCAAGGCAAAATATTGTATCTCAGAGCTCTAGCTACAGGCACAAGATGAAGACATTTCCCCAATAAGAAATTTAATTTCATCCAGGGAACTTTCCTCCAGTCCCCACACTTCTAGCATTGCAATAACTTCCATCAATCATTTAGAAAGACTGTTTATGCATCCAAACAAAAGGAGCAACGTTTACAATGGGATGTGATCACAGCAAATACAGGAATTCTAGGTGAGGACAAATTTCAGTATTTCAATCTCTGCAGTGCTAGACATTTGTGGATTTAAGCAAAATGTCATGGAGCGTGAGAGAATTCTTATTTGTGTGAATCATTCTATCCCCATTCCCTGAACAACAACCTGTTTCTGGTCTTTCACATTCCTATTGACCTACCTTACACCCCATACTGCTCCTCACTCAAAATGAATGCTATGTTTTAGATGTAGTGTATTTTTATTATTTATTTATTATATTTATATCCCAGCTTTCTCGACCCTGAAGGGGACTCAAGGCGGCTTACAAATAGACAACAATTCGATGCCTTAGCAACAATGTACAATTAAAATAAACATTTAAATTGAAATTAAGATCAACATTGAATTACATTAAAACATTTTTAAAACATTACAATAACTATAAAATCGCGCTATCCATAATAATAATCCAGGTCACTCCAGTAGTCATTGCACATAATTCCAATCAGTCTGTTGCACTGTGGGTCTTCTCCGAAGGCTTGATCCCAGAACCACCTTTTCACTCTCTTTCTGAAGGTCAGGAGGGAGGGGCCTGATGTTACATCACTAGGGAGGGAGTTCCACAGCCGAGAGGCCACCACTGAGAAGACCCTCTCTCTCGTTCCTACCAGTCGTGCCTGCGAAGGAGGTGGAACTGAGAGCAGATAGTTTCTTTACATTTGAATATGCTGTCTGTCAGTATTTGTTGTTTGGTACCCCAAATGACATTTTTCTCACTTCATTTTCTTTTCTTTAAACCCCACCTTTCTTGCAGTACTGGCACCCAGATGTAGCTAAAACCACATAAAGTGATGATATCAAAACACAGTCTCGCAGATTAAGTAATCCTAAATTAAAACAATTTGAAAACGTTAAAAAAAGGTGGAAAATGCCTGTTAAAGACCCCTTCCTCATCTGATGTTAAGTTGTGAAAAAGCTATTTAGATTTTCAAAAAGTGTTTGCTAGTGATAAGAAGTTAGAGAGCACTAACCTGGCCTCCTTTGGAAAGACTTCTGCTTCCTAGATGCAGCCATTGATAAAGCTCCCTTTCATATTATTTACTAATTTTCCTGTGGAGGTGGTGTTACTGAAAGAAAGGGCTCTCCAAAAACATAGTTTGTCTAAGTATAGGCAGTCCTTTGCATTGTCTGGAACAAAATTTATCAGTACATTGGGGTTCACTTCTGACATATGTACAAATAATACATTAACATCTTTTTAAAGTGTTTACGTTTAGCACCAGGAAGAGTTTGTATTCTTTGCTGAAGTGAATTAAAAATCTTTTGTGGGACTTTAAAAACAGATCGTATATTACTTTTGAAATAAACATGATGGATGTTGTTTGGTTTTTGAGATGAGATGATATGCTTGATTTCTATCTGATCTATTCTTTGTCCAGATGGGGTCTGTATGTACAGCTTGTACTCCACCACCACTTCAGTCCATTAGCTGTTTACAGTGGTCTGCCAGGCAATTAACAACCAATTTTGCAGTTCCAAGTAGTCAGCAAAACGAAAAAAAGAATCAAGGTCTCTAGTGGACTTTTTCTATTTTTGGTTTAGTATGTTGGGTCTGGGATTATGCAGGCCTAACTTAACCAGTGTAGAATTGTACCAAAATTGGAAAATCTTAAATTTTGAGTCCACAACCCTTTATCCCAGGTTAATTCTGAGAGCTGAAATGTATAAATAGGCCATAGTCCTTGGAATTCCATGGGCTCCTAATATACTCGAGTAATATGAGGAATAATTGTATTTTTAATTTTTCTATTCAGTTTAGTTTCTAAAAAAATTACAGGGCCTTCTTGTAATTGGATTGGATCTGGGATTGGCTTTCTATAGCACAGTGATAGAAATAATGAATTGTTGGGAATTGCAATCCAATAAGGCTCTTTATTCTAGTAAAGGGCAGCTATTTTCTGAGGTTCCTGTTATATTGAATTTTCAATGGGCTGGAAGGGCAGATGTGAAGAAGAGGACAAAGGCAAAGGAAAACCTGCTTTCTTCAATCTAGTTGTGTAAATCTAAATCTGGACTAAAACCGTTGCTTGTTTTAGGGAAATTCTATTCTAGAGTTTTAACTAACGGCTAGAACATGGAATTAAGATGTTACAGGGAATTGTGAAACAAATTCCTTTGGTGCTAATAAGACTATAGTGCCTTTCCTCCCCTGATGGAGCTCCAATGTATTCAGTTTTATATTTTATTTTAGTATATTTTATCAGGGTTTTTTTGTATTTTATGATGCTTTTATTTTTATTTCTTATTTTTATTTCTCTCTATTTTGATTATTAAGTTATAGTTGTGTTATTCTGTATTGTCTAATGTGTCTTGTCCTGATGCAAACTGTTTGTATGACTTTTCTTTTGGCATTGAATGTTTGCCATATTTGTTGGAAACCGCTCTGAGTCCCTTTGGGGAGATAGGGCGGTCTATAAATAAAGTTGTTGTTGTTGTTGTTATTATTATTATTATTTCCTTTTCTGGAATTTTAGTCATACTTTATTAGTTGTGTAGTGTGGTTTCTTAATAAAGAAACTGTTATATGGTCCCTCTATAGTGCTTGGAGGAAGAATTACTCTATTTTTAAAAGCATAACCTTTCTCATCAGTTTGATTCCATTCATTACACTTCTGTGTTTTCGATTTTTTAATTGAATACAACTGACAGGCATAAGCAAAAATTACATTAACTAACAAAAGAAGTACATTGTAGCATTCCAACAAATACTTTCCCTTCTACTTCCCACCTGTGAACCCATCACCCATGACTTCGATCACTACTCACTGTGAATCCCATATCTAAAGAAATCTACCCTTAAACTACCTTAGTAAATTCCCATTGCAGCTACTTTAAAGTCAGCATTTGTCTTTCTTGCCAAATAATAAAATGCCAACCTCCATTTTTGGCAAATTCTTCATTATTTCCTCCTTGGATACTGTTAGACAGCTTGGTCATTTGAATATAGTCTAATAACCTTTCTCTCCAGTCCTTTTTAGATAGTTCTTTTTCACCTTTCCAAGCTTTTGCTATTGTTAATATGGCTTCAACAAAGCTATATTGACAAATTTCTTCATCCCTTTTACTAATTCTCTTTCTAAATATTCCTAGAAGGCACATTTCTGGGTTTTCTTAACCTTAGTAATAATTTTGTTTGTTTCCTTAATCACATTTTTCCAAAAGTCTTGTATCATCCTACAATCCACCAAACGTGGAAAAATGACCTTTCTCCATAGTTTGATTCCATTCATTACACTGATACAACAAAAGTGTCCCAGATGTGTTGCTGCCACACATCTTACTTTATCAAACCACATCTACTCCCTGTTCAAAATCCTTTGCATTTCCTCAGTGCTGCTGCAGGTCTTCTTATTGGTATGTTGCATCTGGTCCCTCACCAGCATCATAGATGGAATCAGATAATTAGGAATGAGTAATTACTGCCTGTCATGTCCTAAGGATTTTTTTTTTAAAAAACCGCTTAAAGGATGTCCCAAGATCTGCAAATTATTTAACCTGAATTTCTCATTTCAGATTAAATATATCAGTTGTCAGTTCACATCCCTTTGGTTTTGTGTTCTGATCTCCTTCCTATGGAATCCTTTTCTGTTCTCCATTAATAAGCACTGTTTTCACCTGCTCTAATGCTCATGTGGACTATATGCCTGGAGTTCAAAGTAAATGACAGCTAGATTTCTCTCACCTTTTGCTCTTCTTGACAGGCTCCCGGTGGAAATCAATGTCAAACCAGGAGAAGCAGCCCTACTATGAGGAACAAGCCCGGCTCAGCCGCCAGCACCTGGAGAAATACCCCAACTACAAATATAAGCCTCGCCCCAAACGCACTTGCATTGTGGAAGGAAAGCGGCTTCGTGTTGGCGAATACAAGGCACTGATGAGGAACCGGCGGCAAGACGCCAGGCAGGGCTACCTGATTGCGTGAGGCTCCCGCGACCCTTTGCTCCAGTCGCTCCCAAGAGCAGTCCTCAGAATCAGGAGCTTCCTGTGGCTGAAGTCAGCTCTTGAGAAGATCATTTTTGGACTACAACTCCCAGAATCCCTAGCTGGATTGTAGTACCATAATTTGGTCTACAGTTCTCAGAGTTGTAGACCAAAAAGTAACTTTCCCAAATACTTAGAATATGCACCTGATTTATTTATTTATTTTATTTATTTAATACACTTATATACCGCAGTATCTCAGCCTGGAACGGCGACTCATTGCGGTTTAACAACAGATAAAAGCAATATACAATTTAAAAACAGCAACATATAAAACAACATACAAAAGCAACATATTTAGGAAGGCAACATAGTACATCCTGTGTAGGGCTCCCATTTAGTTTAGCAGGACAATGTTCCTGATTCATGTGGTGAATTGCTGGTTTTACTGGCCCATATAAAGGCTTTTCGCTAGTATGTGCACCCATATTCTTAAAAATGTTATCTCAGAGGATTTTAACTGTAAGCATATTCAAACCTCACTAACTTTGAAAGAACTGTATTTGATTAAATATTTTGTCACATCACACCAGCTTCCTCAGCCCTTTATAGAGGACAGATATCCTTGAAAACCATCTTGTTATAAGTGTGTAATGGAGGATACTAGGGAGTGAAGGGTCTAAAACAGGCATTCTGCCACCCTTCCTAAAATTTTCCTTCAGTCCCTCCATTTCTAGCATTGCAGTAACTTAAAACTTCAGTTTTGAAAATGTAGAAATATCATTTAGGCATATATCAAGAAAAATGTCAAGCAAACTATGCAGACATAGCAAAAATAAAAGTTCTATGTATGAATGAATTTCAGTGTTTCACTCTCTGCAATTCTAGAAATTTGGGAAATGAAGGAAAATATAATTGTGGGCAGAATTCCCATTTGGAGGTACAATGTCCTCATTTTGTCACTCCCCATAGCTGTACCCCAGTGACATATGTGGTGGAAGGAGAAACATGATGGATGCAGGGAGAGATTTACTAAAAGGAAGCCACATCTCTTATTGTGTGTATCTTTTTTTCCTAGGCCCCAGGGCAGTCAGATGCCACCTTCTGCTTCAGATCTCATGTACCAGCGGTCAGTTGGGCTTCAGCTAGCCCCACCTCTTATGGATCACTACTTGCCTCGTGGCATGGAGCCGGACATGCCTGTTATCGTCAACACACGTAGTCTAAAGCCAGAGGAAGGAGATGGGATTGAGGACAGTCATTCAGTGCCTGATGGGGAGATGTACCATTATAGCGAAGATGAGGATTCAGAAGGGGAAGACAAGAGTGACAGCGAGTTGGTGGTTCTCACAGACTGAACTGATGAACTTTGGCTGAGTGGGGTGATATATCTGGGAGTGGAGGGGGACTTTATCAGCTTCTTCCTCTCTTTCCAACTCATATAACTGGATGGACAATACTGGATGGATGGTCTGACTAAGAAAAATGAGAGGCCATGATCTTCTGTCACTGAGAAAGACAGAACCCCAACCATGATGGTTGTATCAATCTAATATTAGGTCAGGGGCCATAACTCAGTGTTAGAGTATCTGTTTGCCTTGCAGAAAATCCCAGGTTCAGTTCCCAATGCCATCAGTGATCTATCCTGAGAGCCCCTTGCAGCCAGAGTAAATAACACTGGATTAGAAGGACCAATGGTTGTATTCAGTATAGGGCAGCTTTATGTATGTTAACTGTGAGAATCCCGCAGCCCTTCATATGTTGTTAATCTGCAGTTCCGAGCATTCCTCTGGCTGGTTGCCTAGATTTGTTGGAAATTGTAGTACAACAATAGTTGGAAAGTCACATAGTTCCCTCCCCTGCGTTATGTTTAATGTGGAGACAGATTTACAAGAAGAATTGGGTCCATGCTCATGACATTTGCAGGGCTTCTTGCTAATTCATCGTCTTTTAGAAAGGATATTGGATTTGCCCCACGATGTATACACTGGAAGAGTGATACATTAATGATTGAGAATGTTTTAATGCAGTTGGCACTGAAACTTCTCTTTCCGTGCTAAGAAACAGAGTTCTTGCCTTTCATCTTGAGGCACAGGGCTCTCTCAAACCTGCTTTAAAGTTAAATGAGGGGGTGGGGGAACAATTGTATGGTGACATCAAGAAGGAAGGATGAAATTAAGCACAACAGGTCCAGAAGTGATTCTCTAGTAAACCACCATCTTTTTGAGTAATGCAAATGTCCTTTGTGTTTTCAGGAGTGAGATCATAACTGGCAAAGTCCATTCCTTTCAGTTGCAATAGCATTTGTCCTCCTTGTAGTACTCATTTATGATGGAGAAATCTTGCCACAAAACTCTAGTGATAAGGTTTCCTTAGGGTTTGCCATAGGTTGAAAATGACTTGAAGGCACATAGTAACAATTGCAAAGAAGCAGGTGTTCAGTGGTTGAGCAGTTCTTGGTTGGTACCTGTTACTGCACTGGGCCAATTCATTCCACTGATGTAGGTGGTGTCATGAAGAAAAAGGCTGTGGTTACAAGGAAGGAAGGCTTTGGATAAATAGATTGCTTGGAACTGACAGATTTTGTCTACCTTCCCTCGCCGCTGCGGTGTTATTTGCATGTTAGGTGCCATCAAGGCAATTTGAACTTATGTTGATCCTATCAGCGTTTTCTTGACATTCTTTGTTCACTGGATGCTGGGCATTGCCTTCCTCTAAACTGAGAGAGTAGTGGTTGTCCAAGATCTCTCAGTGGGATTCTATAGCCAAATAGAGGTTTGAACCTTGCTCTATCATAGTCCTAACCCAAGATTCAAATCACTGTCCCACTCAGACTCTAATAATTTCTATAAGAACCTGACAAAAGTATAATGCACAAGCATTAAGATTCCAGCCCTTGTGTCCATTGCTCATGTGCCTGTGCTCTTTCTCCTTCCCCCTCTCAGTCTCTACTCACTCCCAGCCACCTTTTCTTGACACTGGTGTCCATCCAGCTGAGCAGAACCCTTTACCTGTTTCACATCCTGGACAGCTGTTCCAGCTTATAGTAACCCCACACAGTTGCCACTCTCTGCTGACTTCTCTTTTCACTTTGCTTTTTTAAAAAACCAAATGTCTGGGCGGAACACTTGTTCCGGATGTCAACCAGTTCTACTTGTTCCTAATTCCCCTCCCTTTCCAACTTTACTTTGTCCTGTGTTTGTTTCTCTCTACTCCCACTGGTCCTGCCAGTAAATTCCCATGGAGCCATTTTTAGCTCTGGACTTGAATGAATAACAACTGAGGTCTCAAAGGGGCCCCTTTATATCCTTGGCAGTCTTGACCCTGCTTTTAAATTGAGCCACTGCCTATTCTCCCTCCTGTACTTCTTGCCTGCCAGTTCTCGGTATGCACAGCAGGAGAGGAGGCCTCCTCGGCAGCATCAGAGCAGCCTAACTAGGTTCCTTAGGGACAAAACTTGAAACCTCTGGAACTTTATAAGAAATGAGAATTTAATTGGATTAATCTGATTATTAGAACAACAGTAGGGCTCTCAATAATTGAAAATCCACACACACAGCCCACTTCAAAAGATGTTGATGCTCATATCCACAACACGTCATTTGCTCTCTTATTATACATGGATTCTTTCACACATTGCTAGAAACACACAATGATCTAAAAACATACTACAAAATACACATATTAAAATATAAAAGTAAAGTTTAAGGTTTCCCCTGACATTAAGTCTGACTCTGGAAGGTGGTGCTTATCTCAATTTCTAAGCGGAAGAGCCAGCATTGTCCATAGACACCTCCAAGGTCATGTGGCCAGCATGACTGCATGGAGCGCCTTTACCTTCCTGCAGAAGCAGTACCTATAGATCTACTCCCATTTGCATATTTTCAAACTGCTAGGTTGGCAGAAACTGGGATTAACAGCGGGATCTCACCCTGCTCTCCGAATTTGAACCTGCAACCCTTTGGTCAGCAAGTTCAGCAGCTCAGCAGTTTAATTTGTTGTCCCACCAGGGGGCCTGTATTAAAACATATTTCTACAAAATACATATTAAAATTACCAGAACAAAGATTAAATATAAAACACAAGTTTAAAATTCATGATGAAAACTGGCTATGTCGATTCTACTTTATGATGCTACTTTAACTGCTTTTGATGCATTCTGTGGAATCCCAGGTTTTGTAGTTTTGGAAAAACACTAGACTTCTCTGGCTGAGAATTCTAAACATCAGATCTCAGAATCCAGTGACATGTTGCTGTTAAAGCAGAAATAAAAGTGAGGTAGTGCAAAATGATGTAATGCAAAAGAGTGCTTGGTTGACTGTGTAGGATACTCTTTGGTTTGTTTTACCAGCTCCTGCTCCTTTTGTCACATTGGCTGATGTAAATTAGCTGAACCAGGGAAACAGAAAGGGGTTCAGGATCTTTTAGTAGATTTTTGTGTGATTTATGGTGGATTGGTGAAGGTTTCTGATGCATAAAAATGAGAACACCTAAACTACTGAAATGATTAAATGATTAGGGTATCCAGGAGTGGGTTTCCAGTAAAAACCAAAAGTTCAGTTCAGTTCAGGCACTGGTAAGAGTTATCTGTTCTCAGAGATTTCTTAATCTTTCATTCTGAGTGCACTTCACACTTGGGTTGAATAAACTCTTTTTTAAAGGAATGTCTGAAAAGTCCAACATTTGTCCTATAGCCCCAGGGCCAGTAAGGAGTACTGGGGATTCGGGGGGCCTGTCTCTTAAAATTATATATAAACAAAAGTGTGTGTTTGCAATTGCGTATGACCATTCCCTATATTTTTATCTTCTAATCGTCATATTTGGATGATGGTCTTCAACATTTTGTGCATTTCTATTGGCCTTTGACTGTATTCTAGTGAATACCAGTGCACTATATATGAACATGCTTTAAAATCTCAAAATGGAAAGCTTTTGCTCTCTACTGGCAGAAGCTGGAATGGCATCAAGGCAGCTAAATTGGTAGAGGGCCTAGGTTTACTCTCTCCTATTCCCACAATAAATCTTCTCTTTGGACGGGGTGGTAGTTTCCTTCCTTATTTTTGGAGGGAGAAAAAGACCTACTAATATTCCACATGAAAGAAGGTTGCCTTTATATGCTATTTTAAATTTCAGGCCATTCCTATGTTATGATATCTTATTCCAAGTGAGCTAAAGTGGAACTGGAAGAGATAGATGTAAGTAGAAGTGGTTTTTTTCCAAGACTCACCTCCATTTCACTTTTAATAGGAAGGAAAGATATTTTCAAGAAAAAATCCCTAGTCGTTTCAGAAAAGTTCCTTTTTGGGTAAATGATAGTTTGGGGATTCTAAGAATGGAGCTCCAAAAATTAAAGCAACCTTTCAAAGCTCTGGTCTGATGCTAGTAGGAGGAACTAATCTTAGTGTTATCTAGGAAAAGGCTGATGGTCTGTTCTCTTAAGAACAATACATTTGTTGTCTGAGTTCTCAACTCTGTGGTCTGATTTTTTGTTGTTATCTTGTCACCATTCCTGGGAACTTCGTTAGCTGCTTTGGCTCCCCTGACTAGCTTGGGAAAGAGTCACATTTATTCCTCTCATCCCTATTATTTATTTGTCTCATTTTCATCAAAGACAACTTTGCTAAAAAGATGGGGTTGCAAGCCTCATGGATACAATGAGTTTGTTCCTCTCTTGGGCAGAGGCATCTTGGGAATGGGTTAGACTTTGCCCATTCTTGTTATTATAGACTTGCTCATTCCCTCACTATCCCACCCTGGTGTGCTTTGGCAACTGGTTGCTGTTTCATTTTGTCTCTTCCCCCAACTCTAAAATGCCTGTACATATAGATAGAGCTTTATTTTGTTATTAAGATTAGTAACTTAACCTGTATATTTCAACGTACATGTTTATAGTAAGTTTTTGTTTTCTTGGTACAATAAAAAGAATGTTTTGGAGCAGAGACCCCCAAGGCCTCATCCCTATTATTTGAAAATGCTTTTCTCCCACAGCTGACTGCTGGTGACGTCTAACAATTTTCAAAATTCAAGAATTGTGTTGGAAAAAACAAAGCTTTATCTGGAAATGATAGAGCTGCCTAAATGCTGTAGGTTTGAGCCCTACAGCCCCTCCAAGGGCATATTCATATTGAAACCCTATATTCAGTGGGACTTACTCTGAGGCAAGTGTGTATACCATTGCAACCTGACAAGTCTTGTTCAATAGTAAGTGTGTTTAGGATTAGGAGCCAGTTCAAAACAGGGTAATTTATTTTCCTCCATCTGCACAATAACTTCCCATGAACTTCACGAGGCATACTCAGGGCGTTAAAATGTTTGCAATCTCAAATTATACTTTTATACAAATGTGCCCACATGCAAATATTTGGATGGATGGAGTTCAAGAAAAGGATTAAAGGGAATTTTCATTTAGTTGGAGAGAAGGATGTCTCCCTCCTTCCACCCCCTCCCAAACACAAAAAAACCCTTCCCCATCAGCAACTTCTCTGGTTATACCATGCACTTACAATGAGCACCAGGATTCTTGAAAGTGTTTTCTGATTTGCTATTTCCAGCTTCAGCTCTTTTGTGAAGGTGACAGGCGATGGTCTCATGATTCCAGAGTATAGCAGTGGGTAGGGAAGATCGCAAAGGTTGCTGATGCTGAGCAGCCTATTTATCTAGTACCATACTCTCTTCCCAGCCATAGTGCTTCTAGTCTTTTCCCTCTTGCTGCAATAGCATACCACAGAATCCCCAGTTCTCATGATGCTGAAATCTCCCTATTTGATAGGAACAATGCAAGTTGGGATTCTAGATGTGCTACTTTATATAACCACCTTCATTGTAACCTCCCTTCCCCTATCCTCACAGCAGCATCTGCAGGAGGAATAGGGATCTGTTCTCCTGTTGATCTGGACACAGAATATTGATGTTCTCTCTCCATTCCCTCCACCCATCTCTGACTAAACAGTCAGAAGCAGAATCCTTATCACAATTCCTCCTCACATGAGAGGCAGCTTCCAAGAAAGAGTCGGGAAGCTCAGTCTGCTGCATCCCGATGTACAAAGCAGAACCTATTGCTTGCAGTGGTGCTTGCCCACAATCCCTATGTATTCTCTACACTATTGTGGATGTAAATATCGTGAACATGAATATGTTCTGAATGCACAACCCTGTGTTACACATTTATAACTGCAATTATGAATTCCACCCGTAATATTTAACTCGGGGCCTGAAGTGAGTTTGCAACACTGAAGGCCAGAAGCTGCCTTTCTTTTGTCAGAAATTGCAACCCAATCTGTAAAACATAACAGTTGCTTCCAGCAAAGATAATATGCCAGAAAAGGTTAGCTTTGTCCTCTTAAAGCATTAGTTCATAGCTTATGACATATATTGTGGTGTGAGAAAGATGAAATGTGATCAAAGTGACAAGACTTGCATTCTAGTATGTTCTAGCAAACCACTGATGAAGATAGCCGCACAGAGATGATTTTTTAATATAGTAAGGAGTGGAAGAGAGGATTTCTGGAGTCTCTTCTTGTCATCAGTATGATCTAGGAGTTGTGATGAAAGTTTCCTCTTAGCTATCCCAGAACTAGCCACTTCAAGTCCAGAGAGAAAAATCATACAATCATGAGTGGCTGGCAGAAGTTAGATTGGTTAATGACTACTGATGGGTTATTCCAGTGTAAATAGTTTAGGCATTGCATAAAGAAGTACCCAACACTAATCATTTTGCTGGCTTATGGTGCAGTTTGGAGTCCCACCAGTTCCTCAAACAAATCAGTTGGCTCTTAGTGTTGTTGTTGTTCATTCGTTCAGTCGTCTCTGACTCTTCGTGACCTCATGGACCAGCCCACGCCAGAGCTCCCTGTCGGCCGTCACCACCCCCAGCTCCTTCAAGGTCAGTCCAGTCACTTCAAGGATGCCATCCATCCATCTTGCCTTGGTCGGCCCCTCTTCCTTTTGCCTTCCACTTTCCCCAGCATAATTGTCTTCTCTAGGCTTTCCTGTCTCCTCATGATGTGGCCAAAGTACTTCAACTTTGTCTCTAGTATCTTTCCCTCCAGTGAGCAGTCGCGCTTTATTTCCTGGAGGATGGACTGGTTGGATCTTCTCGCAGTCCAAGGCACTCTCAGAACTTTCCTCCAACACCACAGCTCAAAACCATCTATCTTCCTTCGCTCAGCCTTCCCTAAGGTCCAGCTCTCACATCTGAAGGTTACTACAGGGAATACCATGGCTTTGACTAGGCGGATCTTTGTTGCCAGTCTGATGTCTCTACTCTTTACTATTTTATCGAGACTGGACATTAGTGTACCATACTTAGTGTACCATACTTCAATCTCAAAGCTGGAGAAAAGGAACAGCCTTGAAACAAGTTTCTTTCACTATGTAATAATAGGATTTTGGGCTACATGATCATGCTTATAACCACTCATGGCTTGAAATGTTAAAAGTGACTCAGCATTCATTATCTTCCTCATTTTTTCATTATTGGAAATGATGTGTGTGTATGATCCCTGAGAATTGGTAAGAATAAAATAAAACCAAAAAAATCCTGTTAAAATATCTTGGGAAAATCCTTGAAAAAAATAACATTGAAATAGTTAACAAAGTGACACTGTTATATGCAAATATGGGGCATATTTGTCTGCTCTTTTCTTTAGAGCCTCAATCTAATGTATGTCTAGACTAACTCATGAGTTCTAGCTTTCTCTTTAAAAAAAAGGTTTGTTCAGGATCTTAAATATTCCTTTTAGCCTCAAAGTCTGTTATTTATTCTATCCATATATCAAGAAAGCACCTGTAACTGTTTTGTTGAAAAACCTACATTAACTGTTTGTCCATTATTTTGAGAACAGGAACAAATGCAACCACATAGTCAACTTTGACGTGATGTGCATAAATATACAAAACTATTAGATGTTTAGAGAAAAGTCATGTATCTCCTTTTTAAAAATTACATTGGCTTTATAGTGCGTAGGCTTGTGCAATCCAGGTAACCTTGACCTGTTTCGTGTCCCAGCTTTTGGTGGGGGTCCCAACCCATTTTTGGGAGTCCCCTGAAATTGGGAGGGCAGACATCTGTTTTTGCTCTGGGGTACCAAAATATCCATTTTCTGTTGGCCCATTATGTGTGTGTGTGTGTGTGTATGTGTAGGCTTCCCAGGTTCCCCTTCCCATCATTTTAGGCATTTAAGCTGTTTCTACTCTAGAGGAGAGGTGCTCAGCTGTAAGTAGGTGCATGTTTAAGGAGGCTTCTTATTATCTGCTTCTCTATTCTGGAAGAGAGACACTCAGTTATAGGCAGGCATGTACGTACGCTTTCTGGGCCTGCATGCACACACACACTCTTCCCAAGGCAAGGAGGCAAATTCTGTTTTTTACTCTAGAGGAAGCGCTGGGCTGCAGGCAGGCATGCACCCTTTCTGGGCCTGTACACCACACATGCACTCTTTCCAAGGCAAGGAGGCAAGTTCTGTTTTTTACTCTAGAGGAGGCGCTTGGCTGCAGGCAGGTGTAAACACTTTCTGAGCCTGCACGCCACACACCTAGCCAAGCAGGTTTCTTCACTGTGTCATCTTGACTAAAGTTCCCTTTTGACCAATCTTCAAGACCTGGCTGTTTATGTTACAACTGTGTGGGAAGGACACACATTCAATAGCCAAGAGGCCTTGTTTTTATATAGTCTAGACAGGCTTTTAAACTGCAGTGATGTCACTTTTGCCATCTTTGCACACTACACCCAAATGAACCACATGCAGTACAATACAAAGAAGACATGTTAAACATTTAATATTCCAGGTTAAGAAGGGAGAGCTCTTTTTTAAAAAGCCCTGCAATGTATTTTCACATAATCCCAAATCCAGCTTCTATACCAGGGGTGGGGAGCTTTTGGCTTTCAAAATGCTTTTGCCCATAACTCCCACCATCCCTTGGCAGGCTAGCCAATCATGTTGGAGCGGTATATTCAATACCTGGACACGTACCATTTCCTCTAACTTTGCTTTTTTTGGCTTTTCTAACTAATGGGAAAACAGGTCTCTATCTTGTGTAGAGACAATTTCTAGGTGATGCTTAATGATACCAGGTACATCCAGTGCAGAGAAACCACAGGAAATAAGATCATTGGAGCGGCTGGTTAGGAGATTAATTATAATAGCACATCTAATTAAAAGACTGCAGGAGACTTTCTATCTTTGTTTCAGAGCATATATTCATTGAAAACATGATCACTGACGATAGTTAAGACCCTACTAAACAGCAAAAACATCAAGAAGTGAAAGATTGTAGGTTCTTGACTAAACATAATAAAAGCTCATGAGGAAAAAATATACATAGGTAGTAAAATATTCTTTAGTACCTTTACACTACATTGACTCAAATCATAGCTTAGACCCAAAAGTGGAACACTGCACTCTCCATTCCCACAGTGCCTCCCCTATTCTTTTTTCCACCATACTGGAAAAAAGCAGGATGCCCAGGGTTTGCGAGAAGCCACGTTCTCCTCATATTGACTGGAGAACTTGTACAAAGTGGGCATAGGTTTGGGACTCTTGTCGAAAGAACCCAAATGGCCTTCTTGTGAGGCAAAGCACCATGTGAGATGTTCACAGTTCATATGGAATGTTTCAAGTTGGTTCCAGTTTTGTTTTGAACAATCTAGAAATAATAAGGACTAAAACGACTATTTACAAACTAAGGCCAGGTGCTGAGGGGAGTTCAGGCCTTCTTCTCGGCTTCTCTACACTAGTCTGCCACAGGACTGACATTTTAAATGAAACCATTAACTTCTTCAGTGTGATGCTAAACTCTCAGTGAAACATTCATTCAACAGGTAGCCATCCTGGGTCAAGAACTCCGCTGTGAGACTTCCCCTGGCTTGGTTTTCTCCACTAACTGCATGGCTATACGTACAAATTATCATTTTTAATAGCTGTTCCGGTCTCATGGGGAAATAAGTCATGTCACATGCTCAAAATACTGAATGGCACAATGCTATAGGGGAATGTGATAAATTCTTTTGCAGTAATACAGCCATTGTTGTGCTGCACTAAACTGGCAGTGAACTAAAATTGGGGAGACCTGTGAATATATTCCACACATCTACTGTGATAATTGAGTATTGAGTAAACTTGATACAGCCTCTTCTTTTCTCCCCTAAAATTACAGCTGTGTGTGTCTGTGTCTTTTCCCATCTAGTAGGGTTTTACTTATTACAGGTTGCCCCCTTTAAAGTACTCAAGCTTGAACCAAAGGTGCTTAGAGCTTCCACTGATTCTCAGACATTTACCATTTACATGTACATGCCAAAACTGTGATTGTAACCCTTGCAGTGTAGACTACATCTTTTTAATGGCCAAGGGTGCTCCTCCATCAGCTAATACCTTGACCAAATGACACATATTTCTTTCATGTCTGGGGCTTTCCTGCTGCCTTTATATCTTTGAAAAATCATTGTTGGGCAAACAAAGAATTTGTTGCTGGTTCTTTGAGTAAACCTCTTAAAAGAAACTGAAGGTGGAGTGGTGATTTTGTCTCTCTGTGTAGACAGGGAACTCATGATGGGAAAGAGATGCAAACATTCAACATTTTCACTTAAGGTCAAAAGAGTACAAGCCATGGATTCTCCCAACCAAGGAACAGAAGGTATTTCAGCTGCTTTTGACCTTTAAAGCTACACAAATCTCCAAACAAGCTACTTGCCATCTCTGCCACCCACTTTTTAAGCCAAGAGGCACTTGAATCAGCTCTTAATACCCCAGGGGCTGTGAATAAAATCTCTCTTCAGCAGCCATGTCATAACATCACTTTCTAAAAACATGTGGCAGCAAATCCATGAATGGCACAGCCATGTTTGAGGAGGCTTGTTTTAATTTTTTCTTTTTCTTTTTTGGCTTCATAGAAGGTGTGCTTTCCTTTTCCGTCCCTGTTTCATGATGTCTGACCACTTAGCATTGAAGCAACTTCAGGAGGACAGGATGGCAGGTGCTCTACACCAGAGAAAATAAGGATTGGAATCTCAAGTACCAGAAGATATTTTAGACTTCAACCTCACTTTTCACATTTTTAGGGATGCCACCACAGGCTTTGTTTTAAAGTACTGTTTAAATCTTATGTCCGCATACCTGCAGAACAACAGAAACAGAAACAGACTTCGGTTATAGTTCCTTGAAAGATATTTCATACACTCAGATTTGCTATGCTTTGTGGTGTTTAGAGTATTGTTAGGGGATTCTGGGAGCTGCAATCTTCAAATGGAACTTTCCCAAGCTCTCTGTGACCTTCCAGACATACTACTGAAATCTCCATCATCCCTTGTAGTTGCCTACACCAGCTAGGGTAGATGGGGGCTGCAACTGAACAGAATCTGGAGTGCTATGTATTCCCTGTTTGAGAAGATACTAATTAGTGGGTGCACTTTTTGTACATCCACACCAAAAGCATCCCCATCAACAGTATAGCCAATGCTAATGGAGAGAGGGAGCTGCAGAGCAACAAGACCCAGACAGAACTATTGTACTGGAATGGGAAAGCATAGACCACAGGCTGCATGTGAATCAATTTCCTTTCCCTCCCTCCCTCTACCTACATTTCTAGTTCTTGAGGCCTCTCAGATCATCTCCAAAAGGTCAGAAACTCACCCAACTGTACATGTGTGCAATTTCTAAATAATTTTCACTCACAGACTCCACAAAGCCCCCACTAATGCACAAAAATGTGCAAAATTTCCCAACATACCTCAATTTTTGCCCATGTTCTTCTCATGATTACAATCAGAAAGAATGTGATAACACTTCTAGTCACCATTACGGGAAATATACTGATGAAAATGGAAATATTTTGGCATGTTGTTGAGTTGTTATGAGGGTATGTGAGAGGGAGTTGACTCCCAGATCTTATGCAGAAGCCCACTCCAGATATTAATGGCAAGACATTTAATTGGATTTTTCCCACCTTCATGCCTAAACAACTATGGGTAGCTACTTTGCTATGATCTCCATACTGTGTATCTGTATGGCAGACTGCAGTGGTTCTCAACCTGTGGGTCCCCAGGTGTTTTGGCCTACAACTCCGAGAAATTCCAGCCAGTTTACCAGCTGTTAGGATTTCTGGGAGTTGAAGGCCAAAACATTTGGTGTCCCACTGGTTGAGAACCACTGTTGTATAGAATAATAGTGATATCTGTATTGGCAGCATCTATTTTAAATAGGCTTAGACTGCTATTCCCTTTTCTACAAAGACCAAATTTAGGCTTATATTAAAAAGGCAGATTTTTGAAGAGCACAGAGTTGTCTGACATAGATGTCTAATGCTTATGAATATGAATAGTCTAAAATAAAGGTGACTGTGGCTCATAGACCATAACACCCTTTTTTATATCCCCAAGTCCCCTTAAACATGTTTTCTATGTGAACAATGCCCTGAATGTTACATGCAACAGTTTGCTTTTATCCTACCCTGTGATTCCCCATGCCCCCCCTCCCCCACTTAAAATCATTAAAACATTGGCTGAAAACTGTTCATAAATTGAGAACAGGTCGATAATTCCATTCACATGTACCCTGGAAGTCACTTGCACAGCTAAAATGTGCAAGACAAGACATCAGCAAAGGTCATAGGGCTTTAAGTGATTTTAAGCAGTTCTTAATTACTGAAATAACAGCTAGTGAGAGTTGAGGCCAATTTGAAGTTCTGTCCAATAATTCTGTATGAATAGAGTACAGTTAAAGACTTAAAGCAGGCTTTGATAAGAAAGTTTTAAACACCACAGTACAATCCTAAACATGTTTAACCAGAAGTAAGTCCTAATCAGCTGACTAGGCCCTGCTTACGATCCCACCGGCATCACAAGCGTGATTGGTGGGGATGAGGGATAGGGATTTCTCAGTGGTGGCCCCTCGACTCTGGAACTCTCTCCCTAAGAGCCATAGCAAACTAGGATTTTGCGAGAGCAAACTAAGCCAGCACAAGCGATGCTCCACCTCTTTCTCCGCCTATTTCCCTTTGCTAGGGCAGCGTTGCGAGCATACGCTCGTGCCGCAGCAAACTACAGGAAGCTTGCGCTCGGGCTTGCTCCYAAGCCCCGCCTTC